ATAGTCCCATGAAGTCACTTAGATAATAACCTGGGTATAAAGAGTGTCTGGGGACCTATAAATTAAATTTGCATGGTAGAACCTCAGCCAAGAATTCTACTTCTTTGGGGTATTTATTTTTATAAGGTTGGGCCCAATGTATTAATATTATAATATCTTAGAAACTTACAGATTAATTCATTTCAGTTGAAAAGATTTCAAAGGTTCCATTGGCTTTTACTCAAGAATATTTATATGGTTGATAATCTGTTGAAACTTCCCCCTACGGGTTTTGGTTCAGACTCAGTCTACTTTTAGTTCTCTTTACTAAACTAAATCCCCAAAAGGCCTGGGGAGAGCACCTTTCAGGGCAGCTGACTATGTTCTTACAAATCCCCCAAGTCTACTTTCTACTCATCATTGCCATTTATTCTGAGGAGAATCTCAGAGATATGGAGTGAATTTGGCTTCTCCTCAGGGCTCCTTCCCATCAGTATTCCCTGTATAGGAAATGGCCAATGTTCAAAGTTAAATTTTTGGCTAAGTAAATGGGACTTATTCTACTTGTTCAGTGGTCCATGTGCTTCAAAACATCATGGGGCTTGATTCGAGATGCTGAGTGCCAAGTCACAGGAAATAGATAGTTCACTGCATTTTATGCCTCAATGTGAGAGAGGTGGGAACAGTGAATTTATGAAAAAAATAAAATTGGGCAAAAAATGGGGAGATATGATTGGAATTTGAAAACTAGCTCATTTATATAGTTTTTATTTCCATAGGTAAGTTATTATTCTTTCATTCATTTGGCAAATAATTTTTTGAGAATTACTCTGAGTCTAGAATTGTTTTAGGCAATAGGAACAAGCAGTGAACCAAAAGAAGTGTTCCTGCTCTCATGGGCCTCACATTTAGTCAGGGAATAGATAATGAATAATTAAGTAGGCATACATTATGCCACCTGGTAATAAGTTCTAGGAAATGAAATATTGTAAAGAAGCAGAGATTAACAGCTGGAGGTAGGGTGTGTGCTATTATCGATTAGACAGCATTTGAGTAGTGACCTGAAGAAAATGAGTGAATTTATATGAGTATTTGGGTAGGGCAACATCCTAAAAGGAGCAGAAAGTACTTAGACATTCAGGTGAAAAAAATCTGTGTGTTGAAAGAACATTGATGCTAGTGTGGGGTACAGGGAGAAGAGTGAGAAATGAAACCCAATAGATCGGGGTGTGTGTGGTTCATATTGGGACTGATAGGCCATTGTGAGGACTTTGAATTAGATACAAATAAGGTTAGTAAACCATCAGAGGGTTGTAAGCAAAGATGTAATCCATCCTATATTTTAAGAGGATCAATCTGCCTGCCATATAGAGACTTCCAGAGAGTAGGGATGGACACAGGGTGCTACAGGTGAGGTGCCAGTGATAACCCCAAAACCACAGTTGAAATAGTGAAGTTGTTGTTAATATAGACTGTAAAACTGTGGGAGGAACAATTTATGGGGAAGATTGGGAGGCTCAGTTTTATACATTTTAGTGATGACATATTCTTAATGTGAAGATTATCTTAGTATGTAAAGTGAAGATTCATAATTGAATATATGAGTCTAAAGGTTAAGAGACAGGTTCAGGCTAAAAGAATAAATATGGGCATCCTCAGTATTTAGATTATTTAATGTCAAGAGACTGGTTTAAATCATTGAAGAAGCAAGTCAATAAAGGTAAAGGAAGTGTAACGGCCTGAGCTCTGGGGCATTTGACATTTAGAGATAAGGTAGTTATGGAAGGCTCCATGCAATAGGAGAAATGAGACAATGTATAGAAAATTTACTGAAACCCTAATATACACGAGGCACTGTGATAGGTCTGTTTTCAATGATGAATAAAGCTGTTCCTGCCTCTGAGGATTTCATAGTTTACTGGTGCTTTAATAGAGTTATTTACATAGACAGTTATATAGAATGTGCTCTAGGCGCAGGGAAGACAAAGCTGCTATCTCTGCCTTGATATCAAAAATACTTTAGAAAAGAGGTGATATTTGAGTGGAAGAGAAACATGAGAGTGAGTTTTCCATGTACAGAAGAAGTGAAGGGCATTCTAGGAGCAATATATTGCGTGTACAAAAATGTAGAATTGGAACACATGAACTGCTGGTGGAAATACAAGGAAGCAGCATCACCGTAGGATAAACAGAGTGGTGGAGTTGGAGTCACAGTGAACTGGCATCTGTCAACTAGTGACTGTGAAGTTACCTTAGTTACCTTTCTTCATCCTTTGGTTCCTTATTTATAAATCATAGTAATAATATCTAATAAGCACAGAAGAGAAAAGAAGTAAAAAGTATTGGGTTTGTGTGTTACGTGCCATCCATTATGCAAAGTAACAATATACAACACCAGTTAATCCTCACAGTTCGATGAAATAGACAGTATTACACCCATTTTACATCACTGATTATTAAAGAAATGCAAATCAAAACCACTATGAGATACCATTCCATGCCAGTCAGAATGCCAATTATTAAAAAGTCAAGAAACAATGTGTGCTGGCAAGGCTGTGGAGTAATGGGAACACTTTTACACTGTTGGTGGGAATGTAAATTAGTTAGATTGTGAAAGACAATATGGCAATTCCTCAAGGATCTAGAACCAGAAATAGCATTTGATCCAGCAATCTCATTACTGGGTATATACACAAAAGAATATAAATTATTCTATCATAAAGACACAGACACATGTATTAATTGCAGCACTGTTTACAATAGCAGTGTAATGGAACCAACCCAAATGCCCATCGGTGTAGACTGAATAAAGAAAATGTAGTACATATACACCATGGAATACTAGGTAGTCATAAAAGGAAAGAGATTATGTTCTTTTCAGGGACATGGATGAAGCTGGAAGCAATTATCCTCAGTAAGCTAACATAGAAACATAACGAAACACTGCATGTTCTTACTCATAAGTGGGAGTTGAGCAATAAGAACACATGGACACAGGGAATGGAACAACACATACCAGGACCTGCTGTGGGGTGGAAGGCGAGGGGAGAGAATTTAGAGGACTAGTCAATTGGTGCAACAAACCACCATGACACACATACACTGACATAACAAACTTGCACATTCTGCACATGTATCCTGGAACTAAAAGTAAAATAAAATTTAAAAAATATAAAGATACTGTCTAACAGTTTTCAACAGTGCTTCGCTTTACACACCCAAATATGAGACACCTAATTTCTGATTTTTATGACATATAATTTCTCTACATCCTCTCCAATATTTGGTGTTGTCCATCTTTTTCATTTCATTAGCATAATATTATAGTGACTGTTTAGGGATAATGCTAGTGATTTTAATTGCATTTCCTTGATGACTTATAATGTTGGGCAAATTTTGTTCTTGTTTGTGAAGTGTCTGTTCAACACATTGCTCATGATAAATTATTTATTTTTATTATTGAGTTGGAAGAGTCCATTATATATCCTGGAATCAAGCACTTTTTTAGACATATATGTTGTAAACGTTTCTCCCTATCTGTGACATGCCTATTTATTTACTTAATGGTGGATTTTGTTGTGCAGAAGTACTTAATTTGATAAAATACAATTGCCAATCTTGAAATTTTTCTGTTATTTCTGTGGAATCTTTGTTTATTGCAAATTTGCAAAGATTATGTCCAATATTTTCTTATAGAAGCTTTCTAGTTTTGGTTTTATATTTGGCACAATGATTGATTTCAAATTAACAGTCATGTGTGGTGTAAGGTAGGGGTCATACTTCATTTTTGTTATTTTGTTTTTATGCAAGATAGATACATAATTATACCAGTATCATTTACTGAGGGATTATTCTATTTTTAATGAATCACTTTGGCAAGTTTATTGAATTTTTAGCTGTTTTTGTGTAGATATATGTCTTGACCCTCTATTGGGTGTTAATGATCTATTTGTCTGTTTTTTCCCTTAAACAACAGTGGTTTCATTACTGTAGCTATAAAGTAAGTATTTAAGTAAAGTTCTGTTAGATCAACTTTGTTCTTATTTTCAAGATCACTTTGTTTCTTTTAGGTCATTTGGGTTTTTAGATATTTTAGCACCATGTTATCAAATCTATTAAAAGGTCTATTGAAAGAGACTTCTTTCTACAGGTCAAGTGTTGGCAACAACTGCTCAAAGGTCAAATTTGATTTCAGTGTTCATAAGTAAAGTTTTATTGAAACACAACTATGCCTTCTTACTACATTGGCATGATTGATTTCAAATTAATAGTCATGTGTGGTGTAAGGTAGGGGTCAAACTTCATTTTTTAAAAAATTTTGTTTTTATGCAAGATAGATACGTAACTATACCAGTATCACTTACTGAGGGATTATTCTATTTTTAATGAATCACCGGTTTTGTGCTACATATAGCTGGTTTTGTGCCACACATGTGTGGTTTGGCGCTACAATGGTTTAGGGGAATAATTGTGACAGAAACCAAATGGCTTGTAAAGCCTAAAATATTTATTATCTTTTACTTTACCGAAAAAAAATATTACTGGAAACTGTTTTAAGTTAATTTGGAGAAATACACATCCTAAATTAGCTTTCAAATCCAATACTTTTACATTTCATTTCCTTACTCTAATTAACTTTATTAAAGTTTCATAATTTCCAAAGTAGAATTTTTGAATGACATTTGTTGAATGTAACCATATATATATATATATATATATATATATATATGTACATTTATATTTATACATTTATATATGTAGGAATATTTTGTTTTATACATGCTTTTGTTATATTTTAGTTTCTAGCTATTTGTATCTACTATGCAAAGATACAATTAAATTTTATATTTTGATTATGCACCTACAGTGTGTCTAAGTTCACTAATTCTAGTTGTGTTTTGGGGTGTTTGTAGGTTTTCTTTTTTTAATAATTAGGATATCTAAAAATAAAGATATTCTTATTTCTTTCTAATTCATTTATCTTTTTTTTTTCTTTTTTTCTGTCTTCTTGTACTAACCAGGTCTTCAAAAAAATACTGAATTACCCTTGTAAGACTGGAACACTTTGTCTTCTTCCTTATCCTTGAGGAAAAGTGGTCTATATTTCACTATTAAATATAATGCTAGCTGTAGGATCTTTTGGATTTCTCTTATGTTTTATATTTAATTTATAATGTTGAAAAAATATATCAGCATTCCTACTTTATTGATTTTTATCATGAATGTTTGGTGAATATTCTCAAATGTCTTTCTGCTTCTTTTGTGGCTGTCATATAATGTTCCTCCTTTTTATTAAGGGAATAAATTAACTCATTTATATAGAAGGTTTTTTTTTTTCATGTTAAGACAAGTTTGTCTTCTCTGGGTTTAACTTGTTTTTCTTTATGTAGCTTGTGAGAGAGAGAGAGAGAGAGAGTGTGTGTGTGTGTGTGTGTGTGTGTCAGACAGAGAGAGAGAGAGAGAGAGAGAGAGAGAGAGACAGACTTGCTCTGTTACCCATACTGCAGCACAGTGGTGTGATCATAGCTCAGTGCAGCCTCAAATTCCTGGGCTCAAGTGATCCAGTTACTCCAGCCTTTGGGGTAGCTAGGATTGGAGGCACATACCACTATGTCAAGCTAATTTTTAATTTTTTTTTGTAGAGACAGTGTTTCACCATGTTGCCCAGGTTTGTCATGCAGTTTTAGAATGTGTAAATTGAAATCTTTGAATTTACATATTTCTCCTTTACTATTATTGCATTTAATGCTATAAAACTAAGCACCAATTAACTCATGACACAAATTTCAATAAGTTGTGTTTTCATCATTCAGTTCCAAATATTTTCTTAATTGTATTAAAATGTTTTTCCTTAACCTATAATCTATTTAGATGAGTATTGCATGATCTTCAAGCATGTGGAAATTTTCTGATATATCAATCATAGTTATTAATAATTTAATATTGTTCTTCAAAAACATACTCTGTACAGCTTCTACTGTAACAACATATTTGACTTATTTTATGTTCTAGTATATTATTTATGTCATTGAATGTTTTATTTACATTTGAGAAGAAATAATATTCTACAACCAATACATGTGATTTTTATAAATATCAATTAGATCAAATTGGTTGGATTTGTAGTGTTCTTCAAATCTTCTCTACAGATCTCTCTAATTTTTTGGCCTAACTCTTTTATCAGTTACTAAATTGTCATACTAAAGACTCTTCAATTACTAATTTATAACTAGGTTTTCTTAAAAAAAGAATTGTTATCTTTGCTACATATTTAATCTTTCATGCATTTTCCATTACTTTCTCCAGAATCAGTTTTCTACATATTAACCCTTCTCTTCAGTCAAAGAAAAACTTTTAACATGTTTTTATTTGGCAGGTCTGCTGCGTTAAATTATTTTAGATTTTTCATGAAATGTCATCATTTATTGATTCTTCCTTTGGTGTTTCTGAATAAATCTCCATGTCTAATATGTGATCATTTTTATAGTATCTTTTCCAACCAGCATTTTGAAAATGTTCATATCTGCTGAAAAACATCATCTCTTCTTACTTGTGATCCACCATTTTTCTAGATTCTTTAAGACATTTACGATAGTTACTTTAAAATCCATTTCTGGTAATTTTAACTGCTGGTCATTTCTATATCTGATACTATTGGCTACTTTTTCTCTTAACAATTATAATATGGTCTTGCATTTTATAAAGCTTCATTGAATGTCAGATATTATGTGCAAAAGAAAATAGAAGTGTTGTAAATAATAGCATTTTTTATAAAAATGCAGTCCTCTGCATAGTCAGGTAATTAATATAGGATTCAGGGGTAAAAGGCCACTGCCTGGTGCTCTGTATAAGTCTCAGACTGCTTGTTAGCTTTCTCTTTGCTTTTTCACATACTATCTGAGAATTCATCAGACTAAATGGTGCCTCACTGGTAGCAAGCTTCTCTAATTTCCCCTGTTTCAATTCCGACAACAGATAATCACTTCCTTCGTTAAAATTGCAGCTGTTTTTTTTTCTTATAAGCATTGTATTTGTCCATTCTTACACTGCTATTAAGAACTTTCTGAGACTGAGTAATTAATAAAGATAAGAAAGATATTTAATTGACTCGTAGTTCCACACGCCATACAGGAGGAATGATTGGGATGGCCTCAGGAGACTTACAATCATGGCAGAAGGGTTAAGGGGAAGCAAACACATCATCATATGGCAGCAGGAGAGAGAGAGTGTGTGTGAAAGGGGAAGTGCTATACACTTAAACAACCAGATCTCATGAGAACTCACTCAGTCACCTCAGTCATGAGAAGAGCAAGGGGGAAATCTGCCCCCATGAGCCAATCACCTCCCACCAGGCCCCTTCTCTGACACTTGGGATTACAATTCAACACAAGATTTGGGTGGGGACACAGAACCAAAGAATATCAAGCATCTAAGATAGCTTCTTTCTCCTCCCACTGTTCATTCAAAGACTAAATCACCATGGAACTTATTTAGCAAAGGCTTATCACATTTTTAGATTTTAGTTCATTAGGTTTAAATTCCAGCCTCAGTTTTGTAATGGCTTAAATTAACGACGGTTTTCAGTAATATTTGTTTTGTAGTCATTATTTGTTTCAAGTGATATTTTTCTACTTATTTTTCACCAGTCTGGTACTATTTCAACATGGCACTTAGAAATCAGATCTGAAGTTAGCCTTTCTCACATATCAATTAAAATGTTTGTGAAATCATGAGAATAAAAGCTGCAATTAACACTACAGTGAAAATCAATTTATCAATATTTCTGCTAGAGAAGTCACTGTGGGGAACAACTTATTGTGTCCTGACATTTAGACTTTTCGTGGGTAAAGTGATAGAAATTTGAGAGAAAAAAGAAAAGTCTGTGTAGCATGTAGTATATCGAGGATTATAGCTTTACACTTTTCAGAGAGCCAGACAAAATGGATTCCAAACTGAGTACAATAGACATTGGTAAGAATACTTTAGTTAAGAAGTGGGATAGTTTATGTAAACACATACTCTGCTTTAGAAGTGCAAATAGGAAGGAATATGATGGAATTTACATATTGGAGGTTATTTTATGAAAAATTCTTACATTTTGTCAAATACATGTTAATCTAGCTATCCTTATTATATACTACGTAAATAAGAAAGCAGAGAAACAATAAATTAAACAAATAAAATGTCTTGGGGATCCAGGCTATAGGTTGCATAAATAATTTGCTATAATAATCAGAAGATAACTTAGAAAGTGGATTTAAATTTTGTAATAAAAACAAATAAATTAATCCATAATATTCAAGCAGAAAATTACAAGGAGAAAAAAGAGAGAAAAAGAAAAATAATATGAAAGATAGTTCATTATAATAAAGAAGAAGGAAAATTATTTAGAAATAAATAACTGTATTAAAGTCTGTATTGGAGAAAGTTGGAAGCAGCATCTTAGCTATAAAAATTAAATCATATATACACTGACCACTGGAAACAGAAAATGAGAAAACAAAATGATTGCCATGGAGATAATTAAGCAAATATTAACTTTTAAGATAAAATTTTTCTTAAAGGTAAAAGATAAAATAATTGGAATACAAAGAAAATAAATCATAATTTAAGTAAATTGAAATAAGTTCATGTAAAGTTTATAAAACTTTTTATTATGTATAATAAAACCATACTTTATTTTAGAAAAAAGTATTAAAACTACAAACGGAGAAAATAAGAATTATTATTGTTCTCATTACACCTAATTATTGTAACTCTTTTCAGACAAACATATTTGAAAAATTATAATCATATCAAATACTTTATTTACAAATATAGTTATTGCTTCTTGTAATTCTAAAATAAATATGCTCCATGATAAAAACATTATTTTGCAACTATTTAGAACCTAAAACAATAACTTTTATATACTAGATGTTCCCTAAACATTTTTTTTTCTAAACACTTCTGAATGAGTAAATTAATACTAATTCATCGGTTAAAAAAATTGTGAGAAATACATGAAAACACACACAAAAAAACTCTTCTATAGTCACTTTGTAGTGATAACCAATGTCAATTTTTGATATATATCTGCTCATATTTTTATTACATGTATGTATGTATTTAAATTAAGATATCATGTATACACCAAAATACATATTTTACATGGTTTCAGTTTTTATTCAGTCTTTTTTTGTAAGCACAATTTTTCAAAAATTCTCAAAGCCAAGCCTGGATTTCAGAAGGGAGATGTGTATACTATAACTATGACAAAGGCAAGGCCACAAAATCTGAGGAGCCAATCAAAAATGGGCTTATCCATCTTCCTCTAATCTTATACGTACATGCTTGAAAAAGATCTCTGGTGTTTTCTTAAGATCAAAACTGAAATTTTTTTTCAAAAGAAAAGTACAAACAGGAGAGTGTTGCAGCAACTACGAATTATGTATTAAATAGGTTATTTTGTTTATAAATATATTACTTTATATTTATAACACCTGCTAGTATATAATAAATTCATTTTATTAGATAAAAGCTTTACCTTGCACACCTCAAATAATTGTTAAACAATATGATGTAATGCTTTATTTGAAATACATGAACATTTAATTCAATTTTAAATAATGGGTATTTCTTCCAAGAAAGGGACTTTATAAGATTTTCCATACAAAATGACTTATGCATTCTACATGATCTAATGACCTATTTTTTATGTTTTCCTAGTGTAATAATCTATGTAGTGATCATAAAATATGTTGTAGTAAATATTCTTTATTGTAAAGAATTTTTCTTGAGCTCTAGATCCACATAGTACCTAAAGCATCTGATGATAACACAGCGAACTGACTGAATCTGATCGGAATTACAGTATTATGATCAAATGCACTGTGCATCTGACAAGTACACTACGAACTGCATCTCAATGTGAACTAGAAGAGATATTAAATCCATGATTTAACTATGTACAATTTATGCTTTTAAGATTTATATTTTAACTATCCTTAAATAAAAATAGCCATACTGATGGTAGTAAAAAGTGTTTCCTATTTAAGCATGAATCAGAGAAGACAGTAAAATGAAGCAGGAATCATTTCATCTCTTTTCTCACACTACATCACCTTGAGAGGTAAGGTCATGATTTTCATGAAGTACCAGAATGTTTTATATGTAGTGTCTCTAGAAATCGAACTATTAAATCATGTATGGCTAAATTAACTCTAATTAATTAATTCCATAGAACATTAATCAAAAACATCCACATGTATCAACTGGTCTGTATCTCTAAAATAAAACAGAATGAAAAGTGCAATCCGGAAAAACAACAAGTTTAACTAGTATACATAAAACAAGATGAAAACATAAATAATGTGGATGTTTCTTTTGTAGATAAACACATTACAGTAAACATATAAACACCAATTTCAAGACGCTGTT